GTTGGAGGAGAGAAAACGAGAAGGAGAACCGTAAGAGGAGCGACGAGGACGTACGCAGCGGCAGACGGAATGGTAGGGGATAGAGGGTCGAGATGGAGGGAGACGAGGAGATAAAATTAGAGAAAGAGAGGTCAGAAAAATGTAGGGACAGAGAAAAGGGAAGGGCGAAAATCGAAGAGGAACGAGACAGAGACAGGTATAGATACAGATAAATAGATGGATAGATACAGAAGGAAAGAGGGAGAATGCAGAAACGGAGTAGTCGGCGATAGCGATGGATTCGCGTATTTCGTAAGGGCTGAAAACGGGGCGAATCGAGTACGAGTTGAATTCGGTGCAAATGTTGTAGAGAACAATAACCGGCGCGGTACGATTTTAGGATAGAATCGAGCGAGAGAAAAAACTATTGGACACGGAGACGGAAAGAGAGGATCGATCGTAAGGTTGGCGTTGTTCGAAAGTCGGTCGATCCCATCGCTCGAGTGGTCGAGATCGAAGGAAGAGCGAGAGGTCGAAGAAACACGTAGAGACGTACGGCGTACACGTAGAGCGTAGAGACAGGAGCATCGAGGAGAGCAGCAGAGCGAGATAAGGGGAAAGAGAGGAGGGCGAGAGAGAGCGAGAATCGAGTCGGCGGTTGGCGGGCTTGGCCGGTGCGTCAGTCAGGCTCGAGACACCCGCGTGAACGGAGCGGTGGTTGCCTCCCTTATTCGGTACGTACGTTCGATGCGCCCCCTCCATCACCCCTTTGCTCGCCCAGCAAGAGTCTCGTTTCTCGAGGCAGTGTCGCGCCGAGTGTCGTACCAGGCGTATTGCTCTCTTCTCCTTTAACTCGACCGGTGTTCTCTCGTACGTTCGGCTATCGGTAACACCCTTCGTGCATTCGATTTTGTGCCGCGTTTCGAGCATCCCCCGCGACAGGAGCTACGCACACGACCGAGAGGGAAGCTTCTCTTTCCGTCCGTAATATCCAGCCGATTTCGACGCGAGAAGGACGAACACACTCAGGACTATTCCACGCTAACAGCCGAGTGAGTACATTTTATAGGAATCCTGTTCGCTTCGGGATTATTCTCGTCCTGTTCGGGCTCGAATTTGCCAGCGGTGTTGTACGTACGCGCAACAGACACCGGCGAAACACGGCGACGAGTTTCTCTTCTGTAGCCACGGCAGTGGCAGACGGTGGCATTGATTTCCTCCTCCTGTCCTCTCTCGCCGCCCGCTCGCCCTACCCTGCGTATGCACGCATGCACGCACGTATCGTGATCTCGTAATTTCGCGCGGAACCACTCTTCGTCCTTTCTTTCGCGACGAGTTTATTCGTCGAAAAGATTCTTCTCTGTTCGGTACACGCGAACGAGTGGAAGGGAAAGAATCGCGGAGGGCAAAGAAGGAGGAGTAGGAGGAGGACACGGAGAACCGGAGAGAAAGGATCGTTTGGGAAGATGGTGGGCGGAGGTTCGTTGTTCGCTCGCTTAAATATTTGCTCGGAAACGTCCCGATATAATACGCGTCGCGTATCGTTTAGTTCTGTTACGAGAAACGAGCCAGGGGGTTGCTAAGCTTGTTTGTTTCTTCTCTCGACGGATTCTTTCGATGTGTCTGCCTGTTTTCGTTTCGAAGCGAACGAACGAAAAGCGTACACGCGAGCGGAGGAACGAGTTTGTTCGCCGATGCTTGGAACGTAATTTCACGCGAAACTCTCGCAACCTTGAACGCCCCGTGGTCTGGAGGAACTCGGTTCGAGTTGGTCCCGGCTGGTTCAGGGGCGTCGCGAAACCCGGACACGAACGTTTAACCCCTTGCCTCCTCATTTTATCCGTAATCGTCTCCGTTATTCGTTGTTGCAATTTTTATTTCTCGAATATTACATAACGTAACTTTTACGTTATCGACGTATAAATTGTATTGTTGAAACGAAGAACGTTTCCAACGTTTCGAACAACGAACGATCGCAAAATGTGATTGGATACTCGACCTTACGATACCTTACGATTAGTCGAATTTAATTAGCTCACGGTGGGCCATGGCGAATTTCTCGAGCCTCTGTGGACGTCGATAGCGGTGAAAGGGTTTAAATTCAATTGTACTATAAATATGATCCCGGCATTTAAATTGTAAATCGCGTTACGAACGTGGCACGATATAAGGGAACGGGTTGGCGATAGGGATTATAGTCATAACTCGAATAACGACACTCTGTGCACTTAGTATTCGCAGGGGAAATTCGTTGTTCAAATACTGCGGCACCATCTTTCGATTCGTCGCTGTACCGCTGCTCTTCGTAATCCGTAGTCCAGCCACTGGTTCCTACAGTTTCGCGTATCGCCATCACGATTAACCGGGTTAGGAATTTGACAGTACGATCACGAACCTCGAGCCTGGTTGATCGCGCCGGTTTCTCCTCGATAACGACGAATTTCATCGTGCCGGAAGAAATTGTGTCTCCGATAGCACGTATCACGATTAACATATCACTTTCGTCGCTTATAAACAAGCTACCGTGTATGTTTATCCGTTGGAAGGTACATGTATATAAGTACGTGGGTTGTTCCGTCTTCTCGCACGCGCGTCTGTTTACCGGTGCTCCAAAAGCGAGAGTGTTTGCTTTCAAGCAGCGTTTCAACGGACAAGAGAAAGACCGCGAGATTCAACGGGATCAAGGTCTTGAAAATCTTGAAATTCGACCGATTCGAGAATCTATTTTCGCCAACGCGTTCGATACTTCGTTTACTGGTATAGCAGACCATTCGGCGTTTCACTTCCACTGGATTCTGTCAGTTATTGTTAACAGTTTCGATACGCACACTTAATAATAAAATTAGCGAAACCTAGCGAGCACGGTTCTGCAAGACAATGTATTATCCAGCGAAGTTAATTTGCGCGTTAGCGAGGTGATTCGTTATCATCGAGGTCGAAAATCGAGGGACACGAATCGTCGACCTCGAATGGCTTCATACTTTCATACGGCATTATTAACGCGTAGTCGACCGAATGAATATTTCAACGTTACAGTGCGCGCATCGTTTTTCCACGTGTGCGAAACGGCTCAATTTAGAGATACTCCTGCGGCTAAATGATACCATCCGCGATGGTTCGTGGCAAAACATCGACCCGCATCGATTTCACTCGCTCGTACCCGCGTTGGCTTCGCGCGAACAACCATTTCTGCTTCGATCTCGTTGAGAACCTTAGTCACCTTTAAACCATTGTCCCAGTTGCCGTTCTATGGCTGCTGTTGCCACTTTATCGACAACATTGTCGCTGCTGGAGACGTCGTCGACCAACCGATGCCTGCTTCGGATATTTCGGTAGACGTTTCGCTGTAAAATAAAGCGTTCCGCTATAAAATATTCAACGTTCGTTTAGCAATCGATTACGATAACGTTATAAATAGATATCCACTTGCGCGAAACGAGAAACGAAAGCGTTCGCATAAGAGAAAACTGGTGGCAGAACGGTAGAGCGCGAAACACCCTTGCCCGTTTTGCAAAAGGGGCTTTAAAAAGTCGAAGGGGCGAAGTAATTCCCTGTAAAAGGATGCTGCACGTACGGCGTTCGTCAACGATGAACTGCTTCGGATATAAATACATAGAGAAAGCTTCGAACTTTGCTCGAATCTAAGATAATCGCGGATGTTTAGTAAACTGGAATTTGCGTCTTCTACGCAACGTATAGTTTACGTATTTCTTTGCAAGATATCCTCTAATAGTTTTAAACATCCGAAGGATTCGAATAAAATTAAAAGCGATTCGAGGTTCGCGAATCGATTAAAAGCTCGTAAGAGAGAAGAATTTTGAATATTCGTGAACTTGGCGCATTCGTAGCCTTTGATTCCTCCGGAGTTGGAAACGTTGCTCCACTAGATGGCTCACAGGGTATATTCGAGCGTTGGTCCGACATATTCGCGATCCTTCCCGTTTCTACTTTTGCACGTCGTTCGCAACAGTTCCGTCTGTCTGGACTGGGCCAGTTATCGTAGGACGATCGCAAATTTTCCAGAGGGTGGTCGAGACAGATGAAAGTGCGCGCTAGAGAGAAGATAGAGGTTGAATTATTGGATCTCCACGGGGAGAGGGAAGCTGCTGTCGATAGATTGAATATGAATTACTGAACGCTCGCGGTTGGAACGCGATCAAGAAAGCTCTTTTACGATCCGACTGCTTTAGAGAATAATCGAGTTGCTGTCCTCGGAGGACATTCGAGATCATCGATTTGTGAAGCAATTTTCCTTTTTTTCCCCCTCTGTCAGGTGTCTTGGTTGCACTCTGTGAACGAGCCTTTATTTTCGTACAGCCACGAGATAAAGTTCGCAAGGAACTTTGGTTCCCATCGAAATCATGAAAGTATAATGCGAACACTTTGATCCAGTATGTTATCTCGAATTAGTTCGACGTTAATTGTAAACAGACTCGGCGGACGTGGATGTGGGAGGAACATCGTTGCTGGATCACAAAGAAACGATCCGAGCAATCGTGGCAATCTTTCTCAGGAATCCGGTAGCTTGTCTCTGCAGAGATTTCCTTCGAAAAAAAGACGCTCTTCGAGGCAAGTGGAACGGATCGAGCTCTTAACTTCGTGCGAAAAGAATTATATTTGCATGTGGGACCGGCATTCTGATCGTATCGTCGATTACGGTACAATCGCTGTTATTTCTGAGCTTCTGCAATAAAATTGTCTATTTTTTAATCGTGCGAAACCGTTAACGCGTTGTTAAAATAATCCTACGTAGTATATTATTAATATTTAATTACTGTAACTGTAACGTTATTCAACGTTGTTCTACCATTTTATTGACCCTCTGATGGACATGATCGTATTCGTCTATTTTTACATCAGTATTTGTCGCTTTAGTCGTGAAAGTTGTAAAAATCTGTTGAAAATTCGAAATTATAATAACGAAGGAAAATAAATATACTATAAAGATCTAGCGGTACAAATGCTCTGTAAACATCGACGTTCTTATATCTTCGCGAATCGCGTTCCGATGCCAATAATCCAGCCTATTGTGGAGTTCCAGCATTTTATCAAATGCGTCGCTCTATTTTCAAGACGATGATTCACGCATCGCGTCGTCACAACCGATAGTGCATATTTCCTTTTTCGACGTAACATCTGCGTGCATTCGATTATTTGTGGATCGAGATCGAGGACTTCGTAGCTAACAGGTAGTAACTCTTTATAGTAAATTCGCAAGTCTCGTAGTTCTTGCGAATCTTCCAGAAATCATTGGCAAAACAGAACGGTCGTAACCGCTTGTTATCCCAACTGTTTTGTTGCGTGATATAATAAAATAAACGTACTTGTACGTTATCGTTACGATCGGAGCACTTTGAAAAAATAGTTTGATAAGCTTGACTTGATCGTTGCTTCAAATAAAAAGATTTAATTTCCAGTCTTTGTATGCAAAGGTCGCGTAACATCCGGAAGTTACGAAATATATATTCTTGGAGATCGATGACGAATCGTGTTATCAGAGTTTAGCGGTATCCTGACGAGATATAGTTGCATCCGTGCTAGATCCGTGCTGGGTCGTCGACGGAAATAAGTCGAAGCTTTCGAAGGAAAACGGTGACTGAAGCGTGCGTCGTATTATGCTAACAGCTATGCATACCTCTCTAACCGAAAGATTTCAACGAGCAATAAGACAGGAATGGTATCGAGGAAAAATACGAGTTCTGTGACAAATCGTCGGCGGCAACTGTCACAAATACCGACAGAAATCTAAGGATTTGGGAACTGTGGAATGTGAAAATGAACTCGTTCTTTTTTACGTTTGAAATTCTTGCGATAATTTGAAAAGAACGAGTCGATTTGGTATGGCCACTCGACTCGGCCCTATCAACAGCGTCTCGACGTTGCGTCGCCGTAAAATCAACACGCTAACACAACGTGTTAGGGGGACGAATTTTAAGGGTTTACTTATTCTCTTCTTGTTAACGCGTTAACAAAGAAAATACTTGATCAATTCCGTAAAGTCGGAGTAAGTTCCCACATCGAAACACGTGAGATACAAGCCACACGACACGAT